ACTTGTATTTATTGGGATTTCATAAAATTTACGAAACATTTTTTTTAAATGCTACTTAGAATGCTGCAACATTTTAAAATGCTATAGGAATGCTGTAGCATACTTTTAAAATGCTGTAAGAATACTGTAGCATTCTTTTTTTTTTAAAATGCTGTAGCATTTTTTTTTTTTTAAAATGCTGTAGCATTTTTTTTTTTTTAAAAAAACTTACTAATACAACATATGTTACGAATTACTTTCTTGATCAAATATTCAAATCTTAACATATATGTTTATCAAAGCGTATGGATATATATATATATACTTACTCCGTAAGTTTGCTTACTAGCAACCATAATCCACAAAACCATTTAACATATAGTTTTTGAATCATAATTAGCAAAACTATTTATAACGTAAAACTGATTGCGGAAATATTTGCCAGCGGTATCCATTCCCATCTCCACCATTCGTTCGCCGCTCGCCATTGCCCTTCAAGAATTGCTGATAGGTTTCTTACCTATAGCATGAACATATCTGATTGAGCTTTAGCTCAGCAAGTAGGAACTATCCCTCACAAAATAACTGTAAGTACACATGAATAAATATGCATGAGCTGATTATGCTTAATTATGATGTCTTATCATAGTCTCATTATCTTATCTTATCTTTCTTACTGATGGGCCCGAGTGCTCGTACCACTTGCACTCAATCATCGGGACGTGAGAGTTTGCAAGGTCCCCCACAACACTGTGATTATAACTGAACGAATGCCTCCCTCTCAGAGGACATTACTATATTTTTTTCTTCTCCCTTGCGGAGCCTGAGTCACCTCCCTCTCAGAGGTTGGTACGACACTCAACTGAGATTATTCTTATAAGTTCTTCTTGACTTATTAAGGTGTATGCAATATGACATAGCATAGCATACTATAACATGGAATGTACTCAACACATATAATTCGTGTGAAATGCTTAAGTGTATGTAGTATGACATAGCATAACATACATAACATTAAATGTACTCAAACACGTATAATTCATGTGAAATGCTTAAGTGTATGCAGTATGACATAGCATAGCATACATAACATTAAATGTACTCAAACACATATAATTCATGTGCACTGCTTAAATGTATGCAGCATGACATAGCATCGCATACAATACTTTAAAGCATAAACATGCATATATAACATGGGTAACTTTTTCTTTAAAATCTATTCATACTGTAGGCGAGATTCCTACTTACGTGATTTACAGAGCTGGAATCCACTTTTCGTAATTTTAAGGACCTAACATATTGGGCTCATAGATGCCCGTTAGGATGTTTTGCTCGAAAAACTATTAAGTTTTTAAAAGAAACTATTTTTCTTGAAAACTTTCTTCACGAATATTTCCATTAAAATGAGGTCTAATACCATAGTATTTTACTAAAATCATATCCTAGGTTCTTTGATAACCCTTTGTTAAAAACCAACACTATATTAGTTTTGTTTAGTTAAAACTGTGCAGTTTTTAAAATCTGTATTTTACTGCATCTTAGATTCGGATTTGGAAAATCTGTTATACACAACAATTCTTCATCTCGTCGAGATCTAAAATTGTTGTTTTCAAAGAAAGCTGAAATTCAGCCTCTAAAGGCCTTGTTTGGCTGAAACAGTGGCTGCCAGTTTGTTTTTCCGAAACTGTTTTGGACAGCCTGTACCGTTTTTGAAAAATGGTTTAAAACTTGCATTTCGAGTCAAAACTGAATTTTGTCACAGTCACAAAAAAATGTTCAAAACATCGGGAACTATAAGTTCAAATTTTAAAACACAGGAAAATCCCGCTCTAGGGTCCTCATTTTCGCATTCAAAGTAACCGAAAAATTTTTACTCCAACCCAAAATAAGCAACTTAAACCAAACCTAAACATACCACATAATACTAATCAAACTAACCTCAAAACTAACATAAAACTCACACACCCTTATTACAAATTATTTCCTCAAGAACCACTAATTACATCCTTGATTCACAACTTAATTTTGGTAGGAAAATAGAGGAGAAAGGTTTATAATTTATACCCTTGAAGAAAATCCTTGGTTAGGCTCCTCCTAGAACACTTGATCACCTTCTTCTTCCTCTAAGGTTTGTTAATAGCTTGAAATTAGAAGAGTATAAGAAAATTTGAGAAAAATATTTCTAAATGTCAAACTTTGCTAGAACATAAGAAAGAGAGGGTTTAGAGTTTATACCCTTGGAGAAAATTTTTGACTAGACTCCTCTTAGAACGCTTTGATCTTCTTCTTCTTCTTCTTCTTCTAATGTTTGCTAGTGGCTTAAGGTTAGGAGAGTGAGAGAAAATTTTGAGAAGCAATGGATAGGGAATGGGCGGTTTTGGTGTGTGGAAAAGGAGAGGAATTGTGCAAAATGGACTAACTTAATGCTTGCACTAATGGTCTAGTATTTATAGCCCTTTGCTTAATCCCCTCTTAGCTTTTAATTAAGCCTTTTGTGTCCAACTTAATTAATCAAAACTGTAAGCTTGGCCGGTTTGGATGCTTCAAAGGAGAAGTGAAGTAAACATTCTTTTCAAATAGTTGATTTGATTCATCTCATCATGAAGTCTTCTACCACACTCAACTAACCAAAATTTTTGCTATACACTCCCTAAGCATGGCCGGCCAAGTGAAGAAAGAGAGGGAAAAAAAAACAATCATGAGTACACTTCATCTTTTATCATCACACCTCATCCAATTCTACACATTAACCTACCCCTTGTACTTTTGTCCACTCTCTTAAGTTTCCTTTGAAACTGTTTAAAATTATACTGACTATAAGGAAGTACTTAGCCGACAGAAAATTTTAGTTTCTGATGGTTCCTTTTCTACTGCTTATTTACGGTTCAATATCAATCCCCGACTACTTCGATATCACATTAAATTCATACTCGTGTAATATTTCGATATGTTTCAAGTTTTGAAATTTATTCTAGACTAAACAAATTCTAGACTTAAATTTATGCATTATATCCTAGGAATGACATTGTTTCTGACGGTGTCAACTCCCAAGCTCACATTGTACCATTCTACTATAAGTATTTATCTTGTGACTTCAACCTAGCTGTCTGGCAATTAAGGATTTTCTCTTTTTTTAAAATGTCAGAGCGTTTTTTATACGCTGCTAACATCGTGCTGTGCTTGGATATTCTTCTAATTAAGATTCTCAAACTACATATGTATTGAAAATTCTTCCGCCTTAAAGTACGGCAAGAATTTATCGATCGAATTTACTTGATCGTAAATCATGAACTTAGCATGAAATCTGCTACATAATTTAGGAATACAGATGTTAATTCCATAAATCCTTCAGTCACAAAATATAGCATAATATTTTCTAGGAAAAATTCTTGGCTTAAATACATAAATTGTATTATTTAAAGTCTGAGATTTTCTCAGTCATTACATAATAAATCTGAATTATCACGAATCATATATGTAATAACAATAATTATAATAATTAATTCATTCATCAGTAAAATTAGGGCTTTTCAATTAGAAAGAAAAGTGATAAACATCAGTGGGAATCATAAATTCAGAAACTTAGGGATCTAATACCACATGTTAGGGATGTCGGTAATTTATGCAAAAAAAAAAAAAAAATGCAAAATCTTAATTCCCAAAATCATAAAACTTTATGATCTTCACAAAACAAAATAATTAAATCGAGAGAGCTTTCCTTAATCCATATCAATTTATTGAAGAGATTAGACTAGCTATGCCGATGAGTAAGAAAGATGCTGTGGTTGGAGAACTCGCGAAGTTATTGGATTGCTTGAACATCCAGTCCAGAGGTTTATTTTCAAATTATATTGATACTTCGGTAATTGTTGTATATATATGATAACAGGAGTGATGATCTTTAAAGTTGGTGACAATTTTTTGGGTTAAACTCACTGGTGCTACTGAATTTTGGAATCATTACCAGTTTGCCACTACAACAAAAAAGAACTTTAGCTACAACGAATCGTCACTACAACATGCCAAGTAGTCGCTAAAAAAGTTGTGGCGACGTCAAGTCATTGCTACATAGTCGGCGCTAAAAATGTCATCGCTAAAGTGCATTATCGTTGTAGTTGTCCCCAAACTTTAGAAACCGTGATTTTTCTCTCAGAATTTTGTATCAGTCCTGCTTAACCCCATTTGTTAAAATTTCTATTAAAATGACACAAAAAAAAGATCGGTTTGTTTGTAGCAGAATTTTGGAAAAAAAAAAAAAAAAAAAAAGATTATGGGACCATATTACCTCCAATTTTCCCTTCTATTTTAAACATAATTTTTTTTTTTTTTGGGTGGGAGGTGGGTGGTGGGAGAGTGGAGTGCGACTAATTAAAAAGTTATAAATTAAAGTGAGAGTTTTTAATGTTTTTAAGGGAAGAATGGGAATGAACAATTCAAGCGCCCCAATTACAACAATGATCATAAACTTTCAAAAGTCCGTTCCATCGCGATTTTGTAGATTCTCCAATGTAGACGTAACAGTGAGAATAACCAATATCTTTTTTTTTTTCAAGAAAAAAAGAAATAAGTAAAAAAGATGAAATATTTTTAGAAAGAATTTGGGATTGGAAAGAAGAAAATTGAGAGGAAAGGATGCGACTTGTGGAGAAATGTGTGTAGAATTTGAGATTTGAAGTGCTAGCTGTTTTGGTGTTATCACTCCTACATATGAAGATCTATTTTGATCCAAACTCTTAGGCCTTATTAGCTCACATGGTAATTGTTTCACTTTCAGTATAAAAAATTGTTTACCTCAAATCTTTGTTATCTTCTTCTTCATCATAATACATGCACACACCAATACGTATGTTCTACACACGCTATAACATTTATTTTTATCCATAACTAGAAACAAGCTGGTAGTTTAACAAACAACAAGCAGCGGCCGAATTAAAAGGCTATGTTTTCTGAGATCCCAAAATAATCTCCTGAAGCTTTTCTGAGCAAACCAAACAGCATTTTTTTTTTCTTTTTTTTCTTTAATGCGAGGCTTTGCGTTTAAGCACAACAAGGAAGCTCAATGATTTCCCTGAATCAAGGATAGAGCTTAGATATACCTCTTCGACTTTCTTAAGATACAAGTCAAAGAGCTCGTCCACAATCTCTTCTCCAATTTCCTGCTTGATTAGTCCAGTGAGAGCAGATCTCATAGGGTATGTAATGATCTGGTGGTCGTTATTAGCAACACCATTTACCTTTTCATGAGGAAGAACTTCCATTCTCTCTACGCTAAAACACCCGTTTCGTTTCACAGCAGTTTCGAATTCATGAGGAGTCGTCATGTAAATCGGTATGTTGAAGGAGTCCACTGTCTCCTCACTAACTATTCCCTAAAATTTAATTGAAGAAGCACGAGAAAGGAATCTATATATAAAAATCGTTAATAACACATATAAGTGCCAACTTCGTTTTCTTATTGACAAAAATTTTAAACATTGTCCTTGTTGTCTTCTTCTCGATCATAATTTCTATATGATCTGTTTTAGGACTAATCATATAAGGCTAAAAGGAGCACGAATAATTTGATTCAGCTTGTCCAAGAAGAGGAAATTAACCATTTAAGACTGAGCAGCGTAACGAAATTATTATAGTATATAATGCCTATATAAGTTGACAAATAAATTTCCACATTTGCAATTCATTTCGAAGGGATGTCTTGCAGACATCAGTCACCTCCAATATTTAGATTTTAAATCTGAAACGGTCATTAAAAATAACAAGAATATGGGCAAACCATTTTTTACAAAAGAAGAGAGAGACAGTGAAAGAGAGAGAGAGGTACCTTATTAACCATGTCTATTAGGCAAGACCCTATAAGGTCAAAACACGTATTTACCCCAGCTTCAGAAGGATGAATTCCATTGGCTATTCCCATAATGATAAAAACCATAAATCCGCCACAAACAACTTCTTTTGCTCTGGCTTGCAAGAAATCTTCCATGTCCTTTTGATATTGAGCTTTATAAGCCTCAATTACTTCATCTCTAGAATTCGAGTAATAAACTCGCCCTTTGTTCCAAGCAGGAGAGCTTTTGTCCGTTACTGCTTTTGGCACTCGAGAAAGCCAATGGAGGGCGAAAGAAGAATGAATAAAGTGAAGAGAAGCCTCAGGGAATAGTCGGCCATAGAAAGAACCTGGAACTCCGGCAGCATAATATCTTCGGTTTGAAGGAAGGGACTTGAAGAGCATGTTGAAATCGTTTGAGGCATGGTCGTTGAATAAAACTTGGAATTCTGGTATTTTTGAAGTGAGGCCTTGGGATTGGAGCTTCAACTCCACAGCTTCGATGATGCTTTCCACAGCACTGAATGTATTTGGCCCGACAGAACAACCTAAATCTGCAATGGAAAAGATTGTTGGAGGACTGGCCGTACTGCTGAATCCTATGTCAAGCTTTTCCACAACTTCCTTTTGCACAAGTTCTTTGGTAAAATGTATGACCGTTTTCTGCAAAGAGTACAATCAATTTGAAATATGACTTGCAACAATAAAATAAGTGGGCGATTGGTTCATGGATTCAGAACCATTCTCAATTTACGTGTGTTTTTTGTGAGAGAAAGTACTGTAACGAACCACGAATCATGATTCAAATATATATGCAACTCAAATGAATTAGAGGGCTCATAGATACACAAATCCGCCTTCAAAATTTTGTATTTGGGGAATTTTCACCTTTGTCATAAAAACTTCTGCCTGAAAACTTTTATCGTTGCAAAGACATGGTAAAAAATAAATACAAAATAATCTGTATACCTGAAAAGTGGAGGTCTTGGCATAGCTGTAGGGGCCATCTCCACTGTTCATTGGATATGCTGCAGACGATTTGCAGTTTTCCTTTGCTTCCATCTTATCTGAGAGCACTTCACACACCAAAGGACGCCATGAAAGGTCATCATTTATAAGACTACGGTGACATACTTCGTATAAACACATGTTTTTATTGTTAGCAATTCTTAAAAAAGCGGAAGTCCAAGATCATACCTCCAGCCGTAGCAATCAGATTCACAATCTCCACGAACAAATTAAGAACACAAGATATTAGGAATTTGTTGCTAGTCTTTCCAAGACCTTATGCCGATGCAGTGATGAAAACTCATAGACTTTTTTTGAAGACCAGAGACCCTATATATCCCTCTGAAACTTTTAACGTAATATTTTCTCTGATGTCTTCTTCCCATCAAAAAAGACAAATATATAACAGATAGATAGTTGTTCATCAAAGGGTGTGACCCTTCACCTTTAGAGAAATATATCTGAAGTGGCGTTTTTTTAAAAAAATTAAGGTGTATGCAATATGACATAGCATAGCATACTATATCATGTACTCGAACACATATAATTCGGGTGTACTGCCTAAGTGTATGTAGTATAACATAGCATAGCATTCATAACATTAAATGTACTCAAACATATATAGTTCATGTGTACTGTTTACTTTAAAATCTATTTATACTGTAGGCGAGATTCCTACTTACTTGATTTTCAAAGCTGGAATCCCTTTTTCGCCTATCAGCCTAATCTCTTGCTTTCTTCTGAAACTGTACACCCATTAAGAGTGTGAGATTAACTATTATTTGCTATTTTATTTTAGCAACTTATGAAGGAAAATCTAACCATTTCCATAAGGCATATATTCCTTTCCTTTACTAAAGGATAATAAAGATTAATTTATTAAATCTTCAAAATCTTATTTTCCTAGATTTCCCTTGGTATGATATTAAGGCCCAATTCGGCCTAGGACTTATACATGGCATTCTAACTTTTACGCCGCTGAAATTTATACTCCAACGGAGTCTCTTAAACTAATGTGGGCGTTGGACCCACATTAAATATTCGAAATTCTACGGACCTATCGTATTGGGCTCGTAGGTGCCCGTCGGGATAATTCGCTCGGTAAACCTCTACGTTCTTTAAAGAAATCATTTTTTCTTGAAAAATTCCTTTATGAATACTTTCATTAAAATGAGGTTTAATGTCATTGTATTTTACTAAAATTCTATCTCGGGTTCTTTTATGACTTTTTGTTGAAACCGACACTATTTTAGTTTTGTCTCGTTAAAAACTGTGCAGTTTCTGAAATCTA